AAAACGCAGGTAAATGCCTCCAAAGACCTTAAAATCTAAAAAAGAGTGACACCAAATAGGTCAGCATTGGATTGGCATTTAAACCATTTAACAAATGGTGCTTCTAAAACCAGAAAAATCTCCATCTTCTAATAAATATGAAGACATGAAGCCAGTAACTTTATCAAAATTTAATTTCAGGAATTGCTGATAAAGAACACAATGCATTTTTAAAAGAAAAGCACAATTTTCCAGATTTTAGAAGAGTACCAAATATTATAAATAAAGCAAAAATTCTTCTGATAAGTGTCTTTAAGTGCAGGTAAGGCCTTCAGTAGGGTTGAATGGACCTACTTATTCAGTGCGTTTTAAAGTATCAGTTTTAAAGGATCACATTCAAATAAATATCAACTGCAGAAATGTTTAAGAACAGGAATATTTTACATCTAATTTCTATTAAAAGAGGCGTGTTGAGACTGCAATAGAATGCAATCACATTAAGGAAATATACTTTAAAAACTGGATAAACGGAGTGTAAGTTATAATTTTATACTCATGATCCATTTTATTATTAATCAACCTCATTATTATAGAAAACCCAGCAGAAGCACTACATCAGCTGCCTGCTCTTCAGTCCATCGTGTATCAGTTCTGCTACTATCTGACTGTTTCACGTACTGTAGACTTGAACTGACTGCTGAATTTTGGCAGTGCTGCCCAGTCTGCCCAGTTTGATAATCCCGACTTGAGTCATGAACAGAAGTGTTTGAGTAAAAATAGAAGCTGAGTCTGAGCAGAGGAGGATTAAAGCTGAGCAGAATGCAGGAATGTAGATGTGGGAGAAACGTGTGACTCAACAACGAATGGAAACAAAGAGCCACAAAGAGTCTGCAGAGACTCAAACCCTTGCCGTTCCTCTCCTACAGGCGCAGGAATCTGTGATCCTGTGATCCCGCTCACTTCACCTGAAATCACCTCGCTCTCTGTTCAGCCTCGTGTTCCCGTGGGTTTATATCAGCTGAAAGACTACATCTGATCCCACATCAGTCAGAATGTCTCAGAGATCAAACAGTCTGACACAGTAAAGAGCTGACAGATGCCTAACAAAGATCTGTACCGTGTGTAAAAGTAGGTCTGACATCGCCTCCAAACTCCAACAGCTGCTCGCCCTCCAGCAGGTGGAGCTCTGCGTGTGTGTGTGTGTGTGTGTGAGATGAGTCACAGCTCTCAGCTAGTGTCAGCATAATCAATGGTGAACTCTCCCACAGGAACTCAAACGCATCGAGTATTAAAGTGCCAGGATGAGCTGCCACAATGTTCTAAAAATACCCAAGTACTACTTCAGTAATACTGCAAATTAACAAAGACAGACTGTACAGGACAGACGTGCAACACAACCAGAATACAAACAAAAATACTAAAGAATTACAGTGAAATTAAATTATTTACATATATCACCACCAGGAGCACAAAATAAATGAAACAAAAACTGCAAAAAAGACCCTGATAACTTAAAAAAAACCAAAAATATTTATGCAATAAAATCCTAATTATTAGACACAAAACACAGCACCGTGTAATAAAATATCAACACAATAATCGAAACTGCTACGCACTGAAAGAGCTTTATAAACTGTAAAGATGAACACCTTAATACAACCTATAAACCAAGACAAGCCAAACTACAGAATTCCTGTAGTCGCGAGTTTTTCCGACAGAAAAATTCATACACAAAATCTCTCCTCTGATAACCTGTTTTTAAACATTGCTTTGTTAAGAGGAGTATATATTTACTCAAATATCACATTTTTGTTTCTCAAATAGTCAGAAGAAGTAACTTCAAAATGCACAGATTCCTGTCAAACAGTACCAAACTCAACACTTTAACTGTACGAAGAACAGTAAAAACCTCAGTACTTACTTCCTGTCTGTGTGGTCGAGGCCACTCAGCCTGACGCCTTCAATCTGTTCATTTCGTTGGCCGCAAGTGTTGCCATAGCTGTCATATCCGAAGACGAGGCGAGCGGCGCCGCCGGTGACGATGGTGAACCCGCAGATGCTGCCCTGGAGGATAGAAAGAGAGTCAGCGAGTGCAACACACCTTAAGCAACAGGCGCGTTTCTTGCTGTCTATATTCACTGAATCTCATCCCTCAGTGCACTGTATCCCATCTACTGCTGTCACATTCTCCAGTTACACGTTAATTTATCTTCAGTCAATAATCTAATCTGATCAACTGCATACATTTGAATCTGGGCCTTCAGCTTTTGCATGGTTGGGAAAATCTGTTGTGTTTTATCTGTACTGATACTCGCACCAGACTATGAATATATATGGAAACTTTCATGACTCTCGTCTCAGCAGCACATAAAATGACCAAACTCAGGATGAGTTCCAGTAAAAACCCCGTCAGGACATCACTGTGAAAAATCTAAGACCACATGACATCTAAAAAGTTTAAATCCTCAGAAATCAGGGCTGAATAGCAGATGTTCTGACCTGAACAGGCTCAGATTCACTGTTTATTCTCTACTCATCATAAAATTTTCATGCATCTATTCCTGTCCTCGCTTCAGTTGTAAAATCAAACGACTCTTGACCAGTCAGAGCTCTGCCTGAGGCTCTAAAAGCCAATCAGCTGCCTGCTCTGCTCCTGCTGCTACTTCCTGTTACCACAAGAATCTTAATCCAGATGTGCACATTCATTCAGTCCCCCCAAAAAATTATATAAAGGGGCAGAAATATATAGTTTAATAACATGCTTCAGTGTGGTCCACATAGAGCCACACAATTAACCATCAAGTTATAGTTTGGAAAAGAATTCATTCTGATTGTATTTTTTCAGGTACCTCACAACTTTCACAAGCCTGAGTCTAACAGCTATGGTTAGAATGAGGCATTTAATAAAACCAAACATGTCGTGGTGCCGAGTCAAAAAATAATACACCTAAATAATCAGAGAGTTTGCCCGCATCATACAGCCTGGCCTTCTGCCTTCAGACGTGCCGCAAATAAAAATGAGTTTTATCACTGCTGTGCTGTAGTTACAGGTCTCTTCAAACTGCTGCTTGCCTCAATAAGTCTGGCAGGAGATGTTGTTGATGTTCTAACAGCGTTTACGCTTGAGTTGTTGAACCCACCAGGGCCAGCGAATGAACATCTTTCCACTTCACCTTGAAAAGTAAAGCAATCTGTGCTGTCTTTTCTTTACTTCTGAGTTTTTTTCTCAGAAATTTAAGATGTAAGAGAACCCAAAAGTTGTGTAATTACTAAGCTGAAAAGGAAGAAAAACTACTTAACCATGTTTATTAAGGGGCAAAGACTCAGCGGCATTTCAGCAGTAATCCATCGTCAGCGATTACTGTGTTACAATGGCTAACTGTATATAAAATATTAAAAAACTGAAGACTTATTAAGTCAAAATTTACAATAAGGGGTTAAAATGTAAAATGAATGCAGTCACTGTGGCACAAGCTGGTAAAGATTTTCTGTATCTGTGCTTCTGGCAGCAGAAAAGTATTCAGCTGCATGTCCAGTAAGTAATTTTCCTCATAAATCAACTCAAACAGAAACGCTGTTAGAACATCAACAACACCAAACATATTACAGAGGCAGGCAGCAGTTTGAAGGGGCTTCTAACTACAGTGCAAACAGTTTCTTCAAGTCGATTCTTAACAAGACAAAGCTGTAAAAGCAAGTTTCACCGACTTTACTTTTCATACATGTTTTTTTCTCTCAAAGTGTTCACACATCTCCCACGTCTTGCTTATACCGTCATGCGCTCTCACGCTGCTCAGCCAAATCCCAGTTACAGAGAAGCCTCAGAGTCCGTTCTTTATGAAAAACATTAGACTAAAACAGGCTTGTTCCACATTTTAGCACCAACCCTCAACCATAAACATCAGAAAATGCTAAATTCACTCGCCTGATTTTCTGGGTCAACGCTTATCAGTCAGTAAGATGCAGATTCATAATAATTTGTATTTTTATTTCATTTAAAATCTTTGGTTTAGTGTCAGTGAATAAAATTTGCTCATTTAAGTTTAAAAAACAAAATAAAACATAGTTTCATTTTTAGCCATCAGCCACTTTACTGGTTACATCTGTTCAGACTGCTTCAGACTCAAATAGCCGGCACTCATTAGAGTTTTTCCTTCCCACTGTCGCCAAAGTGCTTGCTCATAGTGGGTCATATGATTGTTGCGTTTTTCTCTGTATCTATTTTTCTAGGATCTACTTTACAATATAAAGCACCTTGAGGCAACTGTTGTTGTGATTTGGCGCTATATAAATAAAATTGAATTGAATTGTCCTTACTACTCGGTATGACCGTTGCTGTGTTACTTTTACTTTTATTATTAATTAATTTGACTTCAGCCACAGAAAGCCTTAATAAAAACCACTCGATCGTCTCTCGAGAAGGAAGGACAAGCATTGTATTTCACCGTTTATGAGCTATATATCCATTATTGTTTATGTTCTTCCAGTCTTTGTAATGAAGTGATGATTTTAACCTTGTTTTTTTATATGACCTGCTTCAAAGAACACGTTAAGAATACGTTGGGCAAAATATCCAAGGTGAATTTAATAAGTAACAATATCATTTCATTTTTTTAATTAAGTCTAGTTTTTATTTCAGTAACTAAAATTTATTCCGCTTGTAACTCAGAAAATATTCATAAACGAAGCAAGTAACTTTTAAATAATGGCTAACATGGGATCAAGATTGCTAACAGTGAAAATACTTTTATTGCAGTTATCGTTAGAGATTTTGAACATAATCCTTCATAAACTGATAAAATTATTTTGTGAGCAACACAGACAGAAGAGTTATGCTCATAATCACAAGTGGGCTCTTATTTACCCAAAAATCTACTATAATTTGTGCTTTTATTTTACTTAGCAGCTAGTGCTGGTGGACATTATTAGCATAGTATGACTGTTTTATGAGGTATCACTACTGTAGTATCACTGTAGCATTGGTGGTATAATTGCTGTAATACAGGAGGGTGCTATTGCTACAGTATCACTGTAGTACAGGAAGTGTTATTACTGTGGTACTACTATATTATTGTGAGGTGATATAAATGCACTATTACTATTGTTTGGAACTCTTATTGCTATAATATCACTGTAATGTTGAGGGTATTGTTACTGTATTATTACTGTAGTACTGGGGTACCATTACTGTAATTGCTGTAATTAACTGCAATTACCGGAGTATCACTGTAGTTTTGTGTGCTATTATTACTGTATTGATACTGTATATCCGAGGGTATCATCACTGTAATACTGGGATGTTACTGTAGTATCACTGTAGTACTAAGAACAATATTTCTACGATAATATTGTAGTTCTGAGGTTCTCATTACTTTAATAATAGGATATTAATACCTTATTGTCATTGTACTATTAGTTGGTATTAATACTCTAAAATTACTGTAGTTATGAGAACATCTTTACTGTAATATTTACTTTGTTATCATTGTAGTAGTATTAGGCATATCATTAATGTAATATTACTATAGTTCAGAGGTATAATACCCAGGGTATTACAGTAATAGTACTGTAGTGTCGTGTGGCAACATTACTGTATGTACTCCTGAGGTAATATCACTGGAATACCAGGTTACTATCGCCATATTATCATCGTAGTATTGTGTCTTTTATTACTGTAGCATTACTGTAGTACTGTGAGTGATGTGGGTGCTGATGGAGGGTTTCTGTGGTTACCATGCCGACGCAGAAGACGGTGAAGAGCAGAAACCAGGGCAGGTCTGTGCAGCTCCGGTCCTCCAGCGGTCTCCATTCTCTCTTTGTCCTCTGAAAGACACACACGCACGCACGCACGCGCGCACACACACACACACACGGTGAGAGCACAGCAGGGCCTTCAGGAACTCCATCCCTCCCTCTATCCCACCTGCCCCGGCCTGCTAACTCGGCTCCATCCCCCAGCTCCGTGTCTGTTTACGGCCGCAGAGAGCGGAGCGGGGCCGCTCACAGGCCGCGGTTACCCGCCTGTTCCCGGCTGGAGCTAATTGGATTAAACGAGCTGCTGGCTCTAATCCTAGCTCGGCCCGCTCTGGTCCCCGGGACCGGTTTCCCTTTCACGGTCACAAAATAAACACACACCGGCGCTCTGCTGAAGGACACGCTTAGAAGAACGAGCACGGTACCGGACCGAACCGAACCAGGCCGCGCTTACCTCCGTGCTACCGCAGCATCCCATTGCAGTCAGGGTGGAGGTGCCCGGAGCTTCACGGAGCTTCACAGAGCTTCAGCTCAGCAGCAGCGGGGTCTGGAGCCCGACAGGCGGGGGGGTGGGGGGCGAGGAGGAGACGACCAGCCCCGCGTGATCCCGGAGGCCGAACCCGGAGCGGAGACGGTCCCGACGGTCAGACAGAACGCTCCGACCCGCTGAGCATTCTACTTGTCGGAGGCTACTCCGGGTACCTAACCGAGCGGGGATTAACGGCCGAGGATTTGTCCGCCACACTTCCTGGTGGGCCGTCAGGTGCTGCGGCCATTCATCTCATTGCGCTTGCGCTTGTGCCCGCGCCGTGAGCGGAGCAGAACAACAAAGCCGTTTTTGACCTGCAGCTGCAGTACCTGCTTTGACCACTAAATCCATTCTAAAGGCAAGATGCCGCTGTTTGCCCTGTAGAGCTAATCTACACTAGAAAGTAACACAAAACACTCTAAACAGTCACATCTTTTAAGTAATCATCAACAGTTTTCTCAAACAGAGTGAAATACCCCAAAGTTATGCAACAATCTATGCAATAAATAAAGAATTAAACCTCAGTTTCTCCCCCAAAATCCCGCAATTATACATTTCTGCAAACCAGATTGATATCTGCTACTGAAGGTGCTCAGATTTCCATTGGGAGTAAACAGGATGCAGGATTAAAAATGAGCTCAGTCAGAAACGTGAGGCTGAGATGATTTGCACATGTGCAGAGGAGGGAGAGTGAATGTACTGGACAAATGATGATGAAGGTGGAGCTGGCTGGCAGGAGGAAAAAGAAAGACGTTAGAGGAGGTTCATGGATATAGTGAAGGAGGACATACAGAGGGTTGTTGTGGAGATGGAGGCAAATGATCATCTGTGGCGACCAAAATAAGAGGAGCTGAAGATTAATTTTCAGTAAACTTCCTCACTTACAAATACTGTTTATCCTTTTGATGTTTTCACTGTCGGGATGATAAGTTTGACCTGTGCTGCAGAAGAAGCTGCTCTGGTGTTGTCAGCTCCCCTGCATGTATGTATTTATGTACTTTCATTTCCCTCCTCTTCCTCAGTGTGCATTTGCTGTTGATGCTGAAGAAAGCCACTGTGTCTGTCACTGTAAACCTGCTGATTTTGATAAAGCTTTTAAAGAAAGCAGTTTGACCTCTGACCTCCACCGACAGACTGCCACGCAGAGCTCCTGCAACATTTAAAGAAGTGACATCTTTGTTTCACGTCCATGCGAACACTCAGTGCACTGTTGACATTCTCCACCAGTCACCACATACACAACACACCATCCTACAGCAACATGCGCTTTCTTCCACATGCTGGACTTATCACTGTCATAGCTAAGAAAGAAAAAAGGCTGGCGTTTGAACTTTGCATCACTACGTTCATATACCTCCAAGAGACTATGTTGGCTCATTTATGAAGCCATGCAGCTGCTGCGGTATTTTCAATTATAGAAATGTTTCCTACCATGAATTAGTCATAATTCTACTTTAACAACTTTTCATAGCTATTAATATAAACTGTTCCATTGGTGTGGAAAGGAAAGGAAAGGGAAACAGAAAGTTGTGTGGAAATATTTTTAGCACTGTACAGATTTTGTTCTGATTTTTGACTTCTAATGGCTACATTCTGATATTTCGAAGAGACAGATCTAGAAGAAGACTCGAAGATATCCTGAAGTACGTGCAGTTTGACAATCGAGCAGCCAGAGCAGATGGTGAACAAACCTTTCAGGAATATTTGAACAATGTTTGTAGCTGGGCCTGTCTCCCTGGTTCTGATCTCTGTGAGGATGAACAGTTGGTAGCTTTCAGAGCCAGGTGCATTTTCAGGCATACCGTCCCTTCTGAGAAAACTATGATGGCAGAACTGCGGGTTTGTTTGGGTTTTTTTTTTTTTTTCATAAAATGACTGAAAATCATAATGCATGATGTCAAAATATTTTTGTCATAGATTAAGAAAGGATGGAACTGTTATAAATACAGACAGAGCCATGTTGTTTAACTTGTCTAACTTAACCTAATTTAATGTTTGTATTTTATTTGTTTGTTTTAATCACTATTGTGTACATAAAGTTTGCACATCATACTATGCACCTGTGGCACTTTTACTGTAACTATATTGTTTATTTATTGCAGGCTGTACTATTTGTATTCTGCACTAACACAATCATTTCCCTTATTCTCATTTGCTATTAACTGCTTTCACCTGTGCTGTGTCCTGCAACCTTGTCTTCCTTTGTGCTCCTGTATTCCTCAAGTTAATTTTTTTGCTCCTTGTGCCTGTTGTGGATGCTGGTTTCTTTCTGGTTTTTGTTTACCTTTTGTTCAGCCAAATAAATGACTCACTTTTGGTCTGATTGTGTCCTGCTTTTGAATTCTTCACACACCACATTCTCACACTAGATATTAGATTTCTGAGAAAGGACTTCTTCATGTTTGTGTCACTTCTACAACCACAGCTAAACTGTAGATTCAACTTTCATCATGTCAAGCTTGAGTGTTTGAACTTTTATCTGAGAGCTGACCTGCTACTGCTGGTATAAATTTAAAGGAGGATTTTCCTTCAGTTGAAATCTGATCTGAATGTTTAAAGAAATTCTCAGTTTTTCCTTTGAGGCATTCATTAAACCATCTGTTAACGTGGGCGTGCCTTCAGCTGTGATCACCTTTTTTAGCATTTTTATAGGCTGTCATGGCATCCCGCCCAAAGACTAAAAACGAAAGTTTATTTCGTACTCTCTCTGATTGCCATGAAGTAAGGGATTTGGTCTTCATGACAGCAGCTTCTGCAGGAGGCCGTGTGCCCCTCCTTAAACTGTTTTAGTGCTGATGTGACTGTAAGTGTGAGACAGTGAGGATGCTGATTTTCATTCAGTGTTACACTGATTTTGCAAAGTTTCCTTCACTTTTGTATTTGTCTTTAAAGCTGCACTCACTCTGCTAACTTCCTGTAGCCCCTCATAGGCTGAAATAAGTCAATTTCCACACTTTGTGTTTAAATGCAGTTGTTTTCTTTTGCTGCATTTTACTCATACATTTGCTGCAGTGAAAGCTTCCCTACCTCCTCAGGTCATCCCTCAACAACAAATTGTTTCTGATGATTAAAATCAGGGGTTAAAGTGCTTTTTTTTTTTTAAAAAAACTTGCTTTGTATTGTTGAGCCATGAAGCTCTCTGCTTTCATCTTGTTAAGTTTAATTCTCCACAAAGGACGGTGAATATTGGAGTAGCAGCAGGGTTAGCAAATCACAGCCTGTACACAAAGCTCATGAAACAAAGTGTAAGGGTTCCCTCACCTTCCAAATTGCACTTTAACTCCTCAATAAAGGTACTGCAGTCAGTTTAGAAACTCCTGTATTCATTGTCCAGTCAGTGCTTTGTTATCATACTGTTGTTGTATTTTTTGTAGTACTTTGGAGGTAAGTTTACTTTTTTCTCCCACTAATTTTCCTGTAAATAATAATCAGATTCTCGCTGAGTCATTGAGTGAAACCAAACCCACTTTTTTATTGTTTTGTTCATTTTTGCGTTGCTTTTTTTTTTTTGAGTGTGTGTGTTCATGTAAAATAATCACGTTTGCTGTGTGAAGAGCAGCAGATCTTTTACCTTTTGCCTGAGCCGAACCTGTTGCTGAGAGCTTGAGGAGAGGCGCTTGGGGTCCATATTCCTGTGGGAGTCCTGGAGGGTCCCGGAGGGTTCCGCAGAGTCCTGGTGCTGCTGTCAGACTGAGGACGGCAGTGATGTAGGTCTGATCAGGCTGCAGAGGACAGAGAGCTTTTGTCTTATTGTTTACTGTTGTACCAGGCTGAACACTGGGGGGGGTGTGGGCATGTGTTTTCCTGCGTTCTTCTTGTTATGGGAGATTAAACTTTTCACACGGTCACATTTCGGGCACGTAAAGCAGTTGAACCTCATATACATACATAAATCATGAAGTTTTATTAAGATTCATTAAAGTCTCAAATTAACGCACACAGTCATGTTTCCATTCCTTCAGAGGGCGTCATGACTGTATGTGTTCATTTAAAGAGTTCACAGACAGCAATGTTCAGCAGAAATATTTAACTTCTCTCAAAATCACATTTGAATCAGGCAGGAAGCAATCGTGACCAAACAAATCTGTCAGGAAGAGGCAAAAATCCAAAGACGGGCAGAAACACGAGGAAGGAAACAAACAAGACCAAAGAAATTTCTGGAAGGCTTAACTGGTGAGAACAAGAAAACACTGCAAAGGACCAAAGACACACAGAGGAGTTTATATACTGGAGAGTTCTTAACAGATTGCGAGCAGGTGATGGTGATGGAGCTGGGGCAATAAAGGTTTGCTCCCTTTCTTAGTCTGCCTCCCTTAACACTAAGATGGCAGGAATACAGAAGAACCAAAGATTACAAAATAAATTACGAATTAGTTTGAAACAAAGCAACTCTTGCAAAGATGACATACTTGTGTAAAATGTTCACAAAGAAACACTATAAATATTCAACTCTGTGCAATTTTTGGTCTCTGATTTCAAAACGAAAAAAAGATTGTGTTATTGGAAATGGAAAAAGTAGACAATGTAAAACTTTTATTAGAGATGGAGTTTCCTTCGTTATCTTTTCTAAAACAAACAGACTGACATAATGAGGTGCCCTTTGACTTCTTGGGTCTGTTTGGAGGATTTGAGTTGTGTCGAGTTGATTGATCTTTTTACACCAACCAAAGCTCCTGTGAAGTTAGACACGGGTTCATCCATAATGTTTCCAATGTGCTAGCTGCCGGTGTCCAGTCCGACTCTGATGGAGACAAGGCAGTGTTCAGCCACTTCTGTGTTTAATGCATTTATCAAGGGAAAGGAGGAATAACATGGTCTGACAAGGTGAAACAACCTTAGTCACAAATCCAAGCAGAATAAAAGAGCTGCTAATAGGCCATGTTTGCATTTCATTTACATTTATTCTGGTTTTACTTTCAAAATCAAACAAAGAAAGAAAATAACAATAAATCAACAAAAGGGAAAAAACTCCATTAGTTAATACATATTGAATCATATAGAATCAGGGAGGGGGACCCAGGGTTGGCCCGGGACAAGCTGGAGAGATTATATCTCTCAGCTGGCCCTGGACAAGCTGGAGGAGGTGGACAGGGAGAGGGAAGTCTGGGCTTCTCTGCTTAGGCTGCTGCCCCGCGACCTGGCCCCAGAGTGGAAGAAGATGGATGGATGGAGGGATGGATATCACGAGACAGGGATCATAATGAGCTTTTTGCCACTTGCTTGAGAACACTTGGGTATTGCCTCAGAGAGAATGGCTGATCTTATTAAACCACAGAGACACTGAGCGTTGTACCTTTGTAAAGTTTCAGCAGATTGAAATTCTGGATTTGAAAAATTATGCTTTCTTTTCATTTTTAAGCACTAAAAATGTTATTACAGCTGTTGGGAAACGAATATCCAAGAGTGGTATGAGGAAGACTTTTTGTTTGTAAGTGATTTATTGTTTTGTTGTTTTTATTTCAGACTTTCACACTTTATTGGTAAATGTAATTCAGAATACAAAAAAATAAAAAATAAAAAAAATTAAAAAGTAATCATTTGATTGCTGTTTGAGTTCCATGAGGTCCATGAGCATGTCCATGAGGCATGCTTAACAGTCTGGAATTAAGTCTGCACAGGCTGCAGCTTTATTAAACAAGAAATTGTATAAAATTTCTTGAGTAGGGAAATAATAATAGTTCTTGGTATTGGCTAGACTTGATGTTTATCCATAAGATTAGCACTGTTATTAAATGTTGTTGTTATCGTGCTTATTTGAAGAGTTTCAGTTGGGTTTCAAAGCTCATCACAGTACAGAAACAGTACAGTGTTTAAAAGTAGAATGGGAGGGAGAACCTTCGGTTTTCAGGCCCCTCTTCTATGGAACCAGCTTCCGGTTTGGATTCAGGAAACAGACACTACTTTCAAGATTAGGCTTCAAATTTTCCTTTTTGCTAAAGCATATAGTTAGTGCTGGGTCAGGTGACCCTGAATCCTCCCTTAGTTATGCTGCAATAGGTGTAGACTGCTGATGGATTCCCATGATCCACTGAGTGTTTCTTCTTCACTCATATGTGTTTATACACCTCTCTGCATTTAATCATTACTTATTATTAATCTCTGGCTCTCTTCCACAGCATCCTCCCTTCACACCAGTCGGGGAGCAGATGGCCGCCCTTCCCTGAGATTGGTTCTGCTTGAGGCTTTTTCCTATTGAAAGGGAGTTTTTCCTTCCCACTTTCACCAAAGTGCTTGCTTATATGGGGACATGATTGTTGTGTTTTTCTCTGTTGTCTTTGTATTACTATAGGGTCTTTACCTTAAAATAGAAAGCACATTGCGGCAACTGCTGTTGTGATTTGGTACTGTATAAATAAACTTTTACTGAATTGAACAGAAGTTTATTAACAGGATCATCCAACATGTTCAACAAAGAAACCTTGCGTATTTATAACTGATGTGATGGTGCAGTTTCACTCTGGTGCAGCAGAGGGCAGTGTGACACAGCAGATGCTTCATCATCGTCGGGAAAAACGCAACAAGACAACAAATTTAAACTTTCCAAGCTTTTACTTTATTTCACAGTTATAGACAACCAGGTTATTACAGGCTTTCTGAAATCTTATGTCAGCTAAAATCTATTAAAAGTGTGCTTCAATGTCTGCTAAAGTTCAAACAAACATCTTTTAATGCTTCCTGGGGGCAGCAGTTGGAAGTAAACTCTCACAGCTGGTTGTCATTTGTGCAGCTGTGCTGTCATGGTGATAAGTGCCCTTTTGTAATTACCCACAAAAGAGCTCAGGTACAGCAGTGGTCTTCTGTGGCCCAGACTTGAATTCAGGTCATTTATTTCTGTTGCACACTTAGAAACAATCAGGAGTTTACTCAAGGTGCTTTCCAGACAACAAGTATACAGAAAAATATGCAGAATACACAGTGACAACACAGAATGGGTGGTGCAAAGGAAAAATCATGAAAATCTCATAAAAGGGATGTCAAATAGAGCAGCTTAGAGGAAAATACATTTAAAAAATATTATTGAATGGATAAAAGCTAAGCAAAAATGAGAACACAAAAAATATCTGTATGAATGTCTTTATATTAGTTCAGTTATTTAACTGAACATATAGGTGAACACAATCAGGGAATAACTTTAAAATAAAACAGGAAATAGCCAAACAATAGAACATAACTACTAATACCTGAGATGAAAGAGACCAGGAAACAGAAGGGACCAAGGTATAAACACAGAAACAAAGGAGGTACTGAAAGAAACACAAATGTACATACAATTTCCACAGGACTCTACTCTTTCCAGTGAAAACTTTCTTTTTCACATGAGTGTATCCTAATAACATGTAGTTAAGCACCCAAAACAGAACTCAGCGGGAATGTGGAAAACAACACTAGAGGCTAACTTCAAGCAAATAGCAAAAATCACCATTAACTGCGGAATCTACCAAGGAGATGTCCTGTGCCCACTGCTCTTCTACATAAGCCAGAACCCCTCAATGAGATTATTGAAAAGACTGGCTATGGATACCAGATGTCACGGTCTGTGTGGCAGACCGTGGGGATGAGAGGAATGAGGACCCAAGATGCAGGACTTAATGATGAAGGTAGTGCGTTTATTTACAGTGGTGCAAATAGTTCACAGAACAGATCCCCGTGTTTTCCCCTTGACTTCCGTGTCGTGTCTTCACCCACAAGTCCGTGCTCTTCCGCTCCTGTGTGTCCCCACACCCCGTGCTCGCTGCTCTTGTCTTCCCTGCTCCTTCCTGGAGAAAATAACAAAGAGGCAACTTGTCAGGACACTCGACTACCGCAGGCATGCACTCGCTGAACTTGACATTTATCGACATTAACGTGGAGTCTCACACAACAATCCCATGCCGAGGAGCGCTCAGCCACAGCCTTAAGAAGCTCTCCAACGACACTTCATTAGCTTCAGGGTTTGTGATCATCTGCTTCAGGTGTGGCCATCCTCTAGACAGGATACGCCCACCAGGCCTACCTGAAACCCAGTACTCAGCCACATTCACAGACACACCCACTTGCCTATACATACAAGGATGGGGAATCACAAGAACAGCAGCAGTGCAGACAACACACACATCACAAAATAACAGCAATAATTATAACAGTAGTCCACGCTGCTCACGGACCCCGAGTCCCCGGAGCTTGAGTCCGTGACACCAGATACAGATGGAATTCACCATCAGCCACCTCCTCTACATGGATGACATCGAGCTGTATGCGAGGAGTGAACGAGACCTCAATTCGCTAATCCACACCACAAGGATATACAGCAATGAGACTGGAACGTCATTCGGATTGAAGAAGTGTAGTCGGATGGTAACCAATAGAGTTAAGGTAGTCAGACCTGAGGGCATCGCACTACCAGAAGGCAGTATCAGCAATATCAGGGACAGCTACAAGCACCTTGGAATCCCACAAGCAAATGGAAACCATGAATAGGCAAGGAAAGCTGCAACCACAAAATACCTGCAGAGGGTCAGGCAAGTCCTGAAAAGTCAGCTGAATGGGAAGAACAAGATCAGGGCAATCAAAACCTACACCCTACCGGTGATCAGCTGGGATAATAAGCTGCTCAAAGGAGGAGATAGAAGCCACTGACATCAGGACAAGGAAGCTCCTGAAAATGCCGAGTGGCCGGCATAGTATACCTGTATAGTATATCTGTGCCAAGTATTGCCTGGAAGTCCTGAGGGACAATGTCCGCTTTTATTAAAGTCAGTAAAGTCTGTACATCATCATATCAGTGCCAAATACCTAATAGATGCCAAAGTTTTTTAAATTCTCTGGACATTAAAGAGATTTTTCAAAAATAATAACTCTGAGGGGCAGCTCTTTCTCTGTGACAGGTCTGTGTGAACACTGAGTGTATACGGCAGAAGATTTTTAAGGTGACAGTTGAAGGGATTGTGTTTCTGTGGCACAACAGCTCAGATGCATGATTATATCGCACGTATCCAGCTGTGTGATCATCTGGAGCCAGGCCTCTGGATCAGCAATCAAGCTGTGATGTCACTGTACAAACACCAATGAAATGGCTCCACTCTCACCTACTTATACAAAAGTCATACAGTTTGTGTGAGTGTTTTACTAGTTTGTGGTTTAGTATTTGGAACATTCTGATTCATTGTTAATCACCCAGGTAAGAAAATCAAATCACAAAAAGTTGATTCTGTGGGAGAAATGTGTCATCCAGGTAACTTCTTCGGTCTCAGCAGGCTTGCCCAAACTTATAAACAATACATTTGCAAACATTTAAGTACCATTCACAGAGAGTTGGGGAATGGTTGCAATCACAGCATTATAAGATGGTCAAAGATGTACTCACAGGAATTGAGGAAGAGTATATCTTTCACCATCCAACAGTGCATCAGCAGAATCTTGATAAGTTGAGTTTCATTTTTGATTAATAGAAACCATAAAGTTAAAAATAAACATTTTCCTGAATTATCTAAAGAAATCTAGACTCCTCCGTGAGAATATCAGGATTTCTTTTATTGTCTGAGATTCATTTTATTTTCTGAGTACGTCCTACCAGTGAGTCATCCATCAATTTAATGTGTCTAGTCAGGTCCTTGGACCACCTCAGCTGGCTCCCTTTGTTGTCGAGGACTAGCAGTTCTGCTCTGAGTTTCTCCAATATGACCAACCCCCTACCTTCCTCCTCATCTCTCCCAGAGAGGCCAGACACCCTCCATGGATCACCACCTTATCACTACTTAGTGTAAAATGTAGTAAAACAAAATAAATACCAAGTAAAATGGGCAAGCAACTTAAAATACATTAAAAGGGCAAACCACATTAACGTGTAATGAATTAAAATTCTAAATACCCCTTAGGTACTTCAGTGAAGGCTGGGTCAGTAAAACTAACATCAACTTAGTAACAGAATAAATGTTTCAGCAATCAGTGAGCTCTAATCAGTGAATACATTCACACAGTTCCAGACTTAAAAAACAAACAAACAAGATAACAAAATAAAGAAACTACAAAATGGAGTAAGCAATGTGTATGTCCGGTTAAAGATCACTAAATAAATAAAGATCTAGTACGTTGCGTCTTCAGTGTTCTCATTTCACATGAATCACAGCGGAAACTCTCTTATTGTGAAATATCAGCTGGGCCGTCTTTTATTGTGAAACAGTGAATCCAGCTGCTGGTGACCGATAGAAACCCCGCAAAGTGAGCGCTCCATCAATGGACTCTCAGAATGACCGGAAGCGTTGATACCACAATAAAAGCATATAAAAGCAATATAAAATACAAAAGCGATATAAAAACGATTTTCTTTTCATGCTTTTTAACAGGTTTAACTTTTAATTTTTACATTTTCATCGGACCCGTTAAAACAAAAGCACTTCTTGAACAAAATACTCACAGAACTAATAGAAAGTTATTTTATAATACTAAAGTTTTTATATTTTGGTTGTTTCTGTCTTTTATTTTTATTCTTTGCCTGTACTTGACCGGTTGTTACCAATTTACCTAACTTATAATTGTACTGCAGTCATACAATATCAAGAGTCTTATTTTTTTTCCTTAATTAATAAGATTGCATAAAATCTTATAAAATAAAATAAAGGTATTATATTTCATAAATTTAAATCAGGTAGCCTATTTGTTAGCTTTTTATCTATTGGTCCACACTAAAAATGTATTATTTAATTAATTTTATTAGTTCCTTATGACAGGGTAATAACCCCCACAAAATATCTCTGGTAAAAAGCAGAAATGAAATTGAAATATAAATATTGTTTCACTTTAAAATACACGAATGAATTGTCACTTTTAAAGAATAAATATGTTAAATATTATATAAAATATGATACACAATATACAATATTTAAAATATATTATCTAAAAATAGAATGTGATAAAAATAAATATTTAAAAAAGGCACCCTTAAAATGTGCTCTTTAAAATGTAGTGCAGCTGGATAAAGAGCACTGACATGCTCACTACCCTCCACCTGCAGTCAGCAGCAAAAATCAATAAACCTGAAAGATCCGGTCTATGTAGATGAATTTAAGTAGATTTTCTTTGATTAGATCTGGAGGCAATTACATCAATGACTGCTTTCACGGACTTTTCTGTTGTTTTAGGGTTGCTCAGCTTTGACATTTGCTTGTTTTGTGTTTTTTGTTGCTATCCTGGTTGAATAAATTTTTCATTAATTATTTCCAAAACATAAACAAGTACAAAATCACACACCGGTTTGTAAAACTTCCACCAGTACGGGTGTTGGACTTCCTCACTGGCAGAACTCAGGTGGTGAGGGTGGG